ATTTTAAGTTTTATTTTATATATCATGCAAAAAAATATTTTTGCAAAGCAAATTTGTATCAAAATCTTAAGATTATTTGTATTAATCAAAATGGATGAGATATCCGTAAATATTCGTAAATATCCGCAAATATCTATTTATTTTCTGGATATCCGTTTTTCCGGATATCCGTATTTTTTCGAAGCAAAGCAAATACCAAAATTAGATATCCGTAACATTCGAAGCAAATCACAAATACTTTAAAAAACCCGGATATCCGATCCGTGCCCACCCCTAAGTATAGCCATCATCTTGCATTAGCGGAGACGTACTTGTTGCTTTTCTGCTTGCTTCTTCAACGTAATTGGTGTTCACGACTGTCTTGTTTTGAAAGCTAGCTTAAACGTCATTGAGAACATCGACGATTTAAATGCAACCTTTCTATCTTTTTATCGTTTGCTAGACAAACTTAACATTTTTCTTCTTTATCTTCTTTTAGTCATATGATTATTTGTACATGAGGTTTTTTTTTCACGAAGCACTTGGAAGTCTTTCACTAGCTCAACGACTATTTCACTATGATTTCCATCAACTTGTCTAAAATTAACTGCTAATAATATAAATATAATTTGTTTTGTCAAAAAAAAAATTGTATATCTAGGTACGTAAATTATTCACTTCGAAACGTGTGTTTAGTGTATAAAAGTACAGGATATTTTTATGGATATGCTAGAAGAAACATTACATGTATATATACCATAACTCACATATTGTGATTGTCGTGAATTGCTTTTATTACTGTGTGGTAGAAGACGGATACACACATTTACTACTCTTCACCGAACCCCCCTCTCCTTTCCTCTATAAATTACTCAAATTCTTTCTTTTCCTCACCCAAGAAACTTAACCCTCTCAGACTCAAACAACTTCACAATGGCTTTCTACTTCCAGCGACTTTGCTACTTCCCAGCTCTTCTCTCAGTGGTCCTCCAGCTTCTGCATGGCGTCTCCAGCCAACTAGTTGGGGTTGAGGAACCTATTTATGCTCCTCCGCCTCCATTAGTTGTGATTGAGGAACCTACTTCTTCTCCTCCGCCTCCAATAGATGTGGTTAATGAACCTATTTCTGCTCCTCTGCCTCCATTAAATGTGGTTATTGAACCTATTTTTGCTCCTCCGCCTCCATTAGTCAAACAGGACAGCAATGATGGCATTGTGCCGGCATTGTTTGTCTTTGGTGACTCTCTTATAGACAATGGGAACAACAATAACATCCCTTCCTTTGCTAAAGCTAATTACTTCCCTTATGGCATTGATTTCAATGGCGGTCCAACCGGTCGGTTCTGCAATGGATTAACCATGGTCGATGGGATTGGTACGTTTCTCTCCAAAACTTGTATTCTTTTCCTCCTTATTTGGAAAAATGTTTAGAAATGAATAACGTTAATTTGGATGAGGCTGATCGATGAAGTAATTTGATGCATGCATGCACATATCATATATAGCTCAACTATTGGGGTTGCCATTGATTCCGGCGTACTCGAAAGCTACAGGAGATCAAGTGCTTCGTGGTGTCAACTACGCTTCTGCAGCCGCGGGGATTCTTCCTGACACCGGTGGAAACTTTGTAAGTTGCATGCAACTTTTTACCTTCTGTTGTAAGAAAACAAAGAAGTAAATCTGTAATTAAGTTATTCATATAGTATTACATCATCTAATAATAACTACTTTTAGTTTTAGTATACGAACCGATTCTAATTAAAATTTTTTTGTGTAGTATAGACTTCAGTTCTACGCTTAATATATACATGATTTTCAAATATAGACGTATATTATGGTTTTCTAATATGTGCTTTTGGAAGCCAATTACTACCATTAATTACTTATTCGTTTGTGTTTATTTTAACGAAATTATTATTTCAAATTCGTTTGTATACGTTGAAGGGCTTGTTAAAATATTGTACCTTGTATTTTTAAATGCAATTGTATAAAACCAAAACTTTAATTTATAAATAACTCCTTTAGTAATATAATAGAAAAAGCTGCTTAATTTTTTTAGTAACGATTTTATATTCATACTTACTTGAAATTGATAATTAAAAATTAACTCAAGTACTTTCAAAGCGTTTACATGAGTATATATATATTTGTTCTTAATAAACATGGAAAATTGTAATGAGTTTATGATCCAATGGTCAGATGGGGCGAATACCGTTCGACCAGCAGATTCATAACTTCCAGACAACGTTAGATCAAGTGACGAGCAAGTCCGGTGGTCCAGTGGCCATGGCAGACTCGGTGGCTCGAGGATTGTTCTTTATTGGAATGGGAAGTAACGACTATCTCAACAATTACTTGATGCCCAATTTCCCTACCCGTAACCAATTCAATGCCCACCAATTCGGAGATCTCTTGGTTCAACACTACGCCAATCATCTCACCGTAAGAAATATTTAATAGTACCTATTAGTTAATAAGCTAAAATTTAATCATAAATGTGTTGTTCTTAATGCAGAGATTGTATAATCTCGGTGGTCGGAAATTTATAGTGGCTGGACTTGGAAGAATGGGATGCATTCCAAGCATTTTGTCTCAAGGAACCGATGGTAAATGCTCGGAGGAAGTTAACCAACTTGTTCTTCCTTTCAACACAAACGTCAAAACAATGATCTCTAATCTCAGCCAGAATCTCCCGGGTGCTAAATTCATTTACCTCGATATCACTCATATGTTGGAAGACATCATCGACAACCCCGGGATTTATGGTAACTAGAAAATCTATAGCTAGCTAACACCAACTCTTAATCTCGATTGTTAATAATGGTTGTGTTGATTTTGTAGGCATTACTACGTTGGATAAAGGATGTTGTGGGATAGGACGGAACAGAGGACAAATCACATGTCTTCCCTTTGAGACTCCTTGTCCTAACAGAGATCAGTATCTGTTTTGGGATGCTTTTCATCCTACTGAGAAAGTTAATCTCATTATGGCTAAGAAAGCGTTTGCTGGTGACCGCACCGTTGCGTTTCCTATCAACATTCAGGAACTGGCTAGTCTCAACTAGAGGACCTTTTATCTTATGGAGTCAATCAAGAAGACATTACAAACTTTGTGTTGTGTCTTTGTCAATTTGTTCTTGTAACGTTCTTTTGAGTCTCGTTTTCGTATCAAAACGTTTTGAGTCAAAACTTTGAGAATTTTTTGAAAGCGTCAAACGTTTCACCAACTGGTCCAAATTTGATCACCAAACGGCCCAACTCAGATCTACTGGTTTTGCTTAAATAATTATCTAACTAACATCAAGGTGTTTGATAAAAAAATTAATAGTTGAATTGGTGTAATTAATTAATGTGTTAATCACTGTGCCACGTAACGTTCTTTTATTTACCACTAAGCTTTCAAAATTTTTTATTCAAATTATATTAACTTAATTATTTATAATAAATTATTTTAAGGCAGTTTAATACAAATTTACTATTATATAATATATATTTTTAATACATAAAAATTATCTCATTTAATTTGGATAAAACATCATTTCTTATAAATAATTAACTAAATAATTAATTTATCTACTCTATTAAAATAGAGTCATTCTTTTTATCTACTAATATAAGTTGTCATTTAACTTTAGACCTTTTCTAGAGTGTTACAAATAATACAAAGCATATAGTTAACTGAACCGTATTACCTAAATTAAACCGGTGGTTATTTATGAGATATAGTCTTGGGTTTTCTTTTGTTTTTAAAACAAATTACATGTTTTGGTTTTTGGGCTTAGTATTAAAGAAAATTCCAAAAAACATTGAATAAACTTTCCACCTTACTAGATCAAATAATCAATTATTATTTTCAGGCCCAAAATTTAATATTTTTAACAAAACAAAATTATCTATTATTAATCATTTATTTAAATCATGTACTTTAAAACATGTTAATGTATTTTTATTTTAAATAACAATCATTTTTTTGATAAATTTCAATGGTAAATTTTAAATAATTTATTGTTTTATTTTTTTAAATAATTTATAGATTTAAAAAAAATATGTAAAGCAAAACCAAAAACTAACTCTAAAAACTAAAATCCAAACCAAAAGCTGAAAACACAGTTTATATTTTTTGCTTTTGTTTATTTACAAAATAAACTATTGCAAGTCATATTTTCAGCTTTAAATTAGATATTTGATTATTTGAGATTTGTTTGTTGGTAATATCAATTCAAACTAACTCAGCGGGTCTAAAAATTAAAAAACTCAAACCAAAACCTGAAAATCAAAAATATAAACTTAAAACTAAAAACTAAAATTTTAAAACAAAATCTAAAATTTAAAAATGAAACTAAAAACTAATGAAAAACAATCATCACCACAAACTTTGGTGAATTGATTTTATACCAAAAAAATATTTAAATTAAGACAAAACCCAATTATATAAATTTTTAATCATAAAAAATTTCTGCGCTTTCAAGCGCGGGTCAAAATCTAGTTATAATTTAAATTTGAGTGTGTTTTAATTATTAGAGGGACCAAAATTTGATAAAAAAAGTACTCCCTCCGTTTCAAATTATATGTCATTATAGAGTAAAATTTTTGTTCAAACAAGTGTCGTTTTATAATTTCAATGCAAAATTTATTAATTTTAAATGTTATTTTATTTTTTTATTGGTTGATAAGTAGTTAGGTGTATAAGTAGTTGTGTTTTTATTTTGAAAATATGTAAAATTAATTGTTTTCTTAGTTTGTGTGCAAAATCATAGAATGACAAATAAATTGAAACGAAGGGATTAAGACGTTGAATTTAGATTTCATTTAGATAGTCTCACAGCAAACATATATAAAAAAAAAATTAAAATTAATTATTATCTTCGGCGGATTAGGGACAGTATTCACCGCCGGCGATATTAGAGTCCCGGTGACTAGGCACCGTAAAATGGCGGAGCCTCCCTTCTTGTACCGTCAAGTAATCCCTACACAGAAACGCCATAGAGAACTCATCCTCCACAGTCCTATCCACATCATGCACAAAAACCGCCGTCGTCTCGCCATCTCCCTTCCGGTTTCTTGCGATCATCCCCGCCGTATAAATCGCCGACATCCTCCCGGGAGCTTCATCGTGATACCCCGTAGGAGCATCCACCATGATTAAATCCCATTCCGTCTCGTAAACCACAGCCGGCAAGCCCTTCAGCGCAAGCTCGCACTTAGAAACTCTAAGATCAGTCGACACACGGCGACGGCACTCTTCTCTATCTCTCTCCGCCGTCTTCAGAGCCGCCGCGTCCTTTACCTTGGTGTCGTAACGTACGTGGTAAGATTCAAGAGACGGGAACTTCTCAGCGATCTGACGTATCCATGACTCGTTCTCCTCTAAGAAGATAGTTCTTCCTCCGTGGTTTAGTGACGCCCACATCAAGCTGTCGTAGCCCAGACCAAACACAAGGAAGTTGCATGGTGACTTCTTGTCTAAGACCTGATGCAGTTCAAGTAAATACTAAGAGTATGATTTATTTTTTTTTGCACAAAATACTAACATCATTATCCCACCAGTCTATTAGGGGATGTTTTAAAAAAAAAAATTTTATCTAATGACAAAAATTTATAAAATAATTAATCGTGGGCTGCCACATATATGGGCTGCCATATCGGTGGGATTCACACACAATGCAAGCATCACACAAAATGGGATGTTTCATTTGGCACCCAGAAACGCCGATTTCTCTCTTTTCTGTGCCCTCCTCCTCTCCTAGGCTTTGTCCTAAGCACCTCCCATCTTATGCCGATAACAATGCTCTAAGAGCATCCACATCAATGAACCCCCTCTTGGGGTTCATTGAATCAATTTTTTATTATTAAAAATTTTATGTTTTCTTTTCGATTTTTAAAAAAAAAAAAAAAAAAAAAATCTAAACCAATCCCGGATCGCCACGTGATGAACCTTAGGAGAAAGGGGTTCACCCGAGAGAACTTTAGGAGAGAGAGGTTCTTAGGTTTTTGTTATTTTATTATTTATTTTATTTTATTTCCGTGTGAACTCCCTCTATAAACCCTCAACTAGATCATAACCCGCCCGACTGGACGGGTATTTGTTTTTATGGTATATATAAACATTTCAAAAATTACAATCTAATGGTTCCAATTTGACTAAGTAATAGTACATTATTTAAACATTGTATTTCATCACTGTATTGTGTAACAAGGGCATCGTAAAATATTATGACCCGTAAACATTTTATTAATAGTTTATAAAAATTTTTTTTGCTAAATTTGGTACAAAATTATATACATTAAACAATTTATTCAAATTTTTAAGTTAATTTTTTCATGAAGAATTGAAGGGCTAGTATATCACTGTTAAAAATTTATAACAATAGTCAATATAAATTATATAAATAAAATATATATTATTCTTGATTTATTTTAAATACATTTAAAACATGAATATATATATATATAAATAATTTTCAGAAATAAAGTAATATAAATGATAGAAACCCAAAAACAATAATAATGATATTTTGGGCCGCAGTAATATTTAGTTTAATAAATGAGTCCATTAGATTTGTAGGTAATCCTTGTTTCCAATCATTATAATTTTAAATACCTATTCATGTTTCCAAACACTAATTTTTTGTACTTCAGCTTTAATAGTATAGATGGGCATGCTCTAATATAACTTGACACTTTTCTTTTAAAATACATCTCTTATACTACTTTTTATAGTAAATATTTCATAGTTAAAAGTTGAAAAACATATTTTATATTATATTAAGAATCTCATCTTAAGAAATTCCATTAATCATGGTCTAACTATTATATTACGAATTAAACTACCTGAATTTAAAACTGTGACATGGCTACACCATATAAGTTATGTTCCAACATCATATTGATTCTTGATTTGTAATGGTATCAACTAATTGAGTTCTTGATTTATCATCTAAGAGTATATGAATAGTATAAATCTAAATTGCATGTCGTTAGTCTTGTGTGCTTACCTTCTTGGTGACCGAGATTTCGGAATGTGTTTGTTGGGGAGTGACATTGGATGCGGCATAGTGGATGAGAGCGTCGGCGAGTGAAGGAGGGATCTTACCGCAATGCACGGACTCTGGACTATGTAGTTTAGTTCCGGTGGAGGAGCTGGAGATTTGGATAGTTTTTTCTGGCGCTGGCTGAGCTGAAGACGGTGAGAAACCGGTTCTGGAGATGAAGAAGAGAGTGATCACGACGAGAGATGCTAAGCCAGAGAGAATGAGTTTCGGAGTGATCGGAAGCTTAAGATTAGTAGTCATTTTGATGGAGAGAGAGAGATACTGTGTTATTATTAGTGTATAAAGATGGTTTTGACTATTTTGTTACTTATTAGGACAAAGAGACAAAATTTTAATATTTTCCTTTGGGGTTTGCGCTTTGCCATGTGTTGGTTTAATTACCAGCGAATCTCGATCTTACTGGTCGATATTAACGATACTTAATTTAGGTTTGGCGTCATCACCTTATTGGACCAACTTTTGAAAAATTAATAAAAAGTTACATAGCAGTTACAGACTACTGTAGTCTGTCTATTTTATAAAATACTGTGGCCACAAACGTGGGATTTAAGAAATATAAATGTTTTATTATTGTATTGTTTAATACCACTGAGAGGTTGATTGTTTCCTGTTTTTAAAGTAGTTTTTAGTTTTTGTTTCTCTAAAAACCAATTTTTATCCGATCAAGCTTTTTGAAAATTGGTTTTCCTAAAATCTAGGGAAACTAGTTTTTAACATAACTACCTATTTTCAAGCAAAAACCAAAAACCAACATTTTCCAGTTTCTAATCGATGGCTTTTATTTTAATTTTGTAATTTATTAAAACTCTTATTTAATAAATATTAATATGAGGAAATATGTAATAATACCCAAAATCAATAACAAAACTACTATTAATCAATAACAAAGCTAATGTCCAAATACACAAAACAATATTAGTATAATATATTCTTTGTTGATTATTTGTATAGTATAGTATACATGTGCATAGTATTGGAATCACAGTTTTGATAAAATAATTCCAGGTTATTTTACAAATGATTTATTTTTTTAATGAAGTCAATCATAATTTGAATATTTGGGTTCACATAATTTTCTATGCTTTAATACCAAAGTAAAATATAATTTATAAAGTTTAAGGTCATCAATAAAATAATTTTTAAATTTCATGGTTATTATAAATATTATGTATACATTGATGTTTTACGTAAAAATAAATTTATAAAAGAAGTTTATCAGTTTTCTGTACTACTATTTTAACTAGTTTTATAATATTTATTTTATATATTTTTAAATAGAATAGTCTTGGCTTGAAAAGAACTACACAATAAGTTTATTTATTAAAAATTATTTTATTAAATAATTTATGTGTGTTTTGATATCGTATTTTTAATTTTATTTTTTCAGAATAATTTTTTTTTGTAATAAGAATTTTAATTTTGTTAATTTAGAAAGCAAACACTAAAAACTAAAAACCAAAATTTTGAAACAACCATTCATGTTTTTCAAAAAACCAAAATCTACTGCAAAATCAAAAACTAAAAACTAAAAACTAGAAACCAAAATCCAAAAACCAAAAACTAAAAACCAGAAACCAAAAACTAAAAACTATAAAAACAATCATCACCTGAGTTAGATATATTTTATAAAAAACTATTAACTTTTTGATTATCAGTACAACAATGAAACCTAAAAATACATCTATGAATTTTATTTAATTTGCTTCTTTGTTTTGCATCTTTCAATGCTCTGTGAACACATTTATGAGAATACTATACCTGTTGCCTGTTTTGTATTTAAAGGTTTGGTGATTAGGCATTTGATACAAACTCAACAGCGAAATTACGGATAGCCAATCATATTATTCAGATGTTTTATTACAATCCAAAACCAAAAGCTTTGAATTCTACACAGCAATGTACTTCTTTAACTGCAGTAGAAAATCTATAGACCATATGGTATTTTCCTTTGTAAGGTGATTTCAAATGACTGGTTGGAGAGAACATCCGTCACAGCCTCAAAGACCAAAGCACGTAGAAGCTTTCACGAGTATCCATAAGCAATTCGGAAGGCAGTTCTTGACGGAAGGGTTATAGCAAAAAAAAAAAAAAAAAAAAAGAGTGACACACTCCATTGAAAAGGAAGACAAAAGACATGAGAAACCTCAAAAATTAGATATCTAAACTATGCTAAATTAAATGGTAGAAAAAAAAAACTTTTTTAAGAAGTTGATGCGATAGTGGTTGCTTATGTTTTTCTTGAAGCCTATGAGAAGAGCTTGTAACTTTTTGCCGAAAGGATAATGTGTCTCATTCCTCCAATGGGCGCAAAGATTGCTATCAAGACCCCAATTGTTATCGCAAACTGTAGTTATACATAGGATTAAAGAGTTATTAGTGTAATCACCTTGTGACTAAAGAAAGCCTTGTGTAATCAAGAAAGAAAGACTAACCCAAGAAGCAAACCAATGGAAGCTAAATAGTTTTGGTCGCTTCATGACCAACCATATAATGCAAGGTATCTGCAAATTATAGAGGTACAATTATACATCCATCCATCTTTTATAAAGTTTTGTAGAGTGACTTACGAAGTATGAGGTTGATGAGAAAACTAGGCCACCGAAGAACCCTAAAAGACCTCCGAAGAAGGGGATCATAATAGCTATAAGACATACAATTGCTACACAACACACAAGAAAGTGAATCTCAGTTTAGGAAAGAAAAAAAAAGTGAAAAAAGAAGATAAATGAGAAGTAATTACCAACGTATGTGCTACGTGCAACTAGACGCAGCATTGCTGAAGGAGTAAACTTCAGTGATTTCACCAGATATGACTCGATCGTATCAAACACTGACATCGCAAAAACCTATCAAGATAAATCATCAGTTACATTGTAATCACATTTTCAAGAAAACTAAGAGAATAAAAAAAAAAAAAAACTAGACCTGGTAACTTCCAATGACATGGATAAAGACCATGAAATTAGCTGCAGCTATAAGCCAAGCAGGTCTCTCAAGGGAAATGAGAACATCATCCTCAACATGAGCACCAAAAGCCCAATAACCAGAGATAGCTACACATAGGTAACAAAGGATGACGATCAAGTAAGCAACAACGACTCCTTTCCACATTGGTTTCTTGGAAGGGACTTCAGGTGTTGAAGGAATAGTAGCTTGGATCTCAAGAACCACACTGTGTCCTGCAAACGCAAACGCTATGGTTCCAATGCCATTAAAAGCGTCAAATATCATTGAGGCCGTGGTGTGTCCTCTTACTCCGTACTCTGCTGGACGATGTTCCGTTCCTTTCACTATTGACGCTACAGACGCTATCATTGAGTACCTACAAACACATATCATAAACAAAGGAACAAAAACGAAAACAAAGGATGTGTTGGGTTTGGTGAGAACAATACAAGAAAGACATAAGAGCAGCGAGAAGAGAGACGATCTTGATAGAGTTGAAGTCAGGAGACTGAGAGAGACCGACTTGGAGCACACCGAACCCAAGAATGTAATAAGTCTGACGGATATGATGGAGATGAGGAAAAAGAAGCTCGACGAATTTCTTAAGCGATTTGCCACCAGTCACGTTGTAGACTATGTCGGAAGCAATCTGGACCATAAGCTGTTGCGGCAAGACGATCCAGTAACCTAGTCTTGGTCCGAACGCTTCTTGTCCTAGCTCCGAGTAACGGTCAAACCGTTTCCCTGGAACGCTTTCGTGCAACTGAACCATTTGCCATAACGAGTAGAATGTTATAAGCCATGATAACATTATCGCAACAAGTCCAGGTCCCCTGTTACAATAATAATAATTATTATTATTACAACTTTTATTCTGTGAAGAAAACTAAATTTGTTTTTTTTTCTTTTAAGAAAACTTACCAGCCAAGCTGTGACATGGCGAAAGGGAGACCGAGAACTCCTGCTCCGACCATGGCCGTGACATTGTGGAAGGCAGAGTAATACCACTTGGCATTTCTAGACGCCGTAATCGGTAACCAATCGTTGTAATCCATTTGCTTGTTATTGTTGTTCTCCTCATCATCCTGATCAAGATTATGTAATGATTTATATATAGAGATGACATTATATGTCAAGAGGAAGACTTTTGAGTTTACCATATGTTGGCGTTACAAGAATGTTTGATTAGAGTGAATGATTTAATGTTTATCGCTAAACTTTTAAGAGAATTTCTAGGATCAAAATTATTTTATAAATTCAGTTCAAGAGACACCAACCTTTAAAGACGTATAACTTTTTTTTAGGAAAAAAAAAGATCAAGTGAGGAAAGGATATAATAAAATGTTACAGTCATTGATGAAAACTACATTATTCATGTGATATATACATAAGGATAAAAGATATTTGTAAGGAAGATAAAGGTTATTACCGCTGGAGGAGGCACATTGAATGTCATTGTTGTTTTGTGTTTTCTTTAATACCCACAAAAAAATGAAAATACAGGGAAATGTATTTTTCTTTTTTAGTATAAAATACGTATAGAGAAGAAAACAAAAAATAATATTAGAAGAGTGATTACTGTTTTTTTAATGGTATGATTTAAGGACAGTGAAGAGTTTAAATAGAAAGGTAACTAGGGTGAAAGTAAGTTTTTTATTACTTGGATCATAGGAAAGTGAGGATGGTATTTTGAACGAGTCTGCAGTTACTCGCAAATCCAACGACTCTGGTCTCTTCCTATTTCTTTACTCTCAGATCTCTTCTTCTTCTTTGTTTTATTACCCACGTTTCTAGCCTTAATTCATCCCGATAAACCTGCGTTCCCACAATTAATTAAGGCAATTGGAAGATTTTTTAAAGAAACATTTAAAAGTCTACAAATCGTATAACAGTTTAAGAGAAGATTATAAAAACTAATCAGCTTATTACACAATTTCACTGTTTTTTTTTTTTTGCAAAAAATCATATTTAAAATACTGAAGTAAGACCAGTAATTTTGTTTGAGTTTTTAGCATTTAATTAAGGGAAAATCTCTTAAATATCACAAAACTGTTTTCATAAAATATTATACAAGAAATAAAATGATCAAAATAACATGATATGTGTAACTTTAGAAATACTATTTCCATATAAGTAGCACATTTCTTGGAGTTATTTTGGTTTTGCCTGACACCAAGTCAATAGAAACCTTGTGTGTATGTACAAAAGGAAGTTTGACATTTTACTGTGGTCAATCTCGTTGGCCTAAGAAAAAACAAACTTGTCTATACATTGCATCAATCCCTGGCTTTCACGCACTGAATAGCCCAAACAAAAACGCTTAATGAGTTTCTATGACTTCTGAAACCTCAAAACATGTTTCTATGTATTTTAATTTTTCTTCTTGTTCCTTTTTTTTTCTCCCTCACTCTCTCTTTTGGCTACCGAGCACTTCTTCCTATGTAACGCTGCTGTTGCCCTGACTTTTCAACACGAGCTTTGCGTACAGCTTGTTGGATCTGCTTCTCGTGCTCTTTAAGCATTTCATCAAGATTTCCACCAGGAGGCATCAACGGTCCTGAGTAATGAATCCTGTTTTTCCTTGGTGCGTTTCCCTGACCACATCCCAAAACAACAGTTACATACCAAAAGGTTGATAATGCACACAGAATAACTAAAAAAGGAAACGTGAGGCTTACGGTTGAGTAATCTCTGTTGGAACTTCTCCTACAAGAATCACCAGACTTCGGCTCTGCATTAGTTTGCCTTTTGATGCTTCCACCTCTGTTCCATTCTGTGCCAGCAACACTTGGGTGAACCATTGTAGAAGCATGAGCGTAACCATTCTGTTGGATCCCTTTTCTAGGTGGTTCGATCCTGAACCCTGTGCCACCTTCCTCGTCTGTTTTGAACTTATGGCTTATGCATGTGACCTTGGACTGCCCTGCGGCTATAAACTCAGGTGTCTGTGCAGTTTTAAGATCTTTTCCTCGTCCTCTTGTCACTGTCTCTCCCCCTCTTCTCTTTTTATCCTCTGCCTTTACTCTGCAACCAAAACTTTTATAAGAAAAGACCCACAAGAGAGTGAAAACAATGAACTCAAGATGTCTTACTTTCTTGCTTCTTCGTTGCGAAGCTTAGCGTCAAGTTCCTTGCTCGGTTGATATCTAGGTAAGTTTGATGGATTAGCAGGGAGTGGCTCCGTGGTGAAGAACTGAATAGAACAAAGTTTTCAACTCATCATGAGAATGCATCTAATAACTTGTAAAAGAAGCATAGATTTAGGGTTAGTATCTATATATATTACTTCGCTCCTTAATGCAGAAGCAGCTGATCCACGTTTCTCAGGCTCTATTGCAAGTAGCTTGTTTATGAGTGTCATAGCTGATGCAGGGAAATGACTGAAGGTTTCACCAAGAACAGCCTTGTAAGGGTGACTTGGTTTAAAGCTTGTTGCAAGTGGCAGAGTTTCTCTTATCCAGTAATCTTCTGAAGGTGAACCACAGAGCTTAAATATCTTGTGTATCTGCTCCACCTGAGAAGCAGAAAGTATAATTATCTCACTAGTTATATTATAAAGTGTTAGATCCTAAAGTGTTTTAAATCTCCGTGCACCAATTATAACCGTTTTTAAATAGATAAAAATATTTTTTAGGAAAAAAAATATCGTGTTATGAGACTATTATTATGAGTCTAAGAGATTTGTATAAACTATAAAGTAAGTATTTGCCTCAATCAAGTTTTCTCTCTAAGTGTTCTTTCTTTCTTGTTTGATTCGCGTTTATTCTCACTATATACTCAATCAGAATCTGATAGATGGTGTTTAGGGTGATAAAGTCAGTCCTAGTTGCTACCAAGAAACTAAAAATGTACTAGAATGTGTTCGCATTACTTCTGTACGTCCTGGCATGATAGGCTTTCCAGCAAAGAGCTCAGTGAGAATGCAACCGGCACTCCACATGTCTATGGCTGGTCCATACTCAGTAGCACCGAGTAGCAGCTCAGGCGCTCTATACCATAACGTTACAACGCGACTTGTCAGCTGTAGATCGCCATCACCCCGGTAAAAATTAGCCAAACCAAAGTCACCAATCTTCAAAACACCTTCGTTATTAATCAAGAGGTTAGATCCCTTGATATCACGGTGGAGTATCCCTCTTCTATGGCAATGTTCAAGCCCACGAAACAGTTGTTGCATATAGCATTTGATCTGAAAACAAAGTCACTTGAGTTTTTTTCCAAAGTGTTATGTCTGTAAGGAAAACAAAAGATGTAACAAATACCTGAGTTTCAGAGAATTTGATTCCAGGATTTGCGGCTAGACCAGCGAGATCATGTTCCATGTACTCAAAGACAAGGTAGAGACTACCTGAGAGTCTAGAGGTAACTAAACCTTCAAGCTTCATAACATTAGGATGATCAAGCTTGCGGAGAATGAGAATCTCCCTGGCCATAAACCTAACACTCTCTGGATCCATATTCACAAACCGAACTTTCTTCATCGCTACAATCTTTCCTGTCTCAAGGTCTCTAGCTTTGTACACGCTGCTGTAAGTCCCCTGTCCAATCTTTAACACAATAAAACTGGTCACAACGAGAGATTCAGACAGCAAAAAAAAAAAGTTTTTAGCATCCCTATAGGACCAACACGTGGCAACACGTGACTAGTCTGGATGACCAGTTCTGTAGGCTACAATAACTATGTATAATTCAAAGAAAAATAAAATTTCTTTCATAAAAACATCAACTAACTTTTTCTAACTTCTCATAGGAATCTGCTGAGCGAGGAACCCATCCTTTGATGGCTTCTCCGGCGACAGAGGTCAACCAAGATGGCCATTCTCCGCTAGTGGGTTCTGTTTTATTTCCGGTCAAACTCTCTGACTTCTGCATAGGCTTCCCCACGGGAATAGCCGTGACTTTTCTTGTCGGAGCTCCGACGGTAACTACTGGGTTGGTGTTTCGATCAGAGGAGGTGGAGGGACGACGCGCCACTGGATAACCATTAGCCACGACGGTGATGGAAGCTTCGGAAGTGGGACGGGTGAAAGATCCTTCTTTTTTAGATGAAGAGGCCAACGAAGTAGACGGAGGGAGGAGTTGAAGGATGGATTTGCTGGAGTCTAAGAGGTCGTTGTTTGTAACGGCGGCGTTTGGAGAACGCGCGGTGGCGCAAATACAACCCATTATTACAAAGATACAACCATTCAAACTTCTATTACAACTCTGATATGATCGGCGACCAAAAAGCTCTCATGTTTTGTTGTTGTCTCTCTCACGTTTTGTGAGTAAGAAGTGGAACGTGCGTGCCACTCAAATCTCTTTTTTTTTAATGTTTCTTCTAGAATTCAAATGATTGTGAGTAGGCGACTAAAGATTTTTTTTTTTGTAACAAAAAAAAAGAAAAGAAAAGGCGACTAAAGGATTTTGTCAACTCAACAGCTTGAATTTTTCTTTCTTCTGGTCATAATTGGGTCTCATTGGTTTTGTTAAATGGGCCTATTTTGACATGCAAAGCCTGACGATTCTTTTCATTTGCGTCTATATTTTTTGTCGCCTTGTTCTCTCGTGCCAACAGAAAATGACCAAGTCCGATGAAGTATCACTAATGACAGCCTTATCCATTACCTTAGACAGACGTACAAAACAAAAATCATATGTTGTCATTTGATCTAAAGTACAATAATGACATCATTAATATCTACTTGCGAGTTGGGTATTTATGCTAGACATTTGAGAATCTTGAATTTTAGAACTTCTCAAATACTTGATGTTTTTTATGTGGTCAATGTAGTACATATATTTCCACATGATCGCAATGTTAACTTTATCTTATCTTAGATTGGTTGAAAATAATAAAATGTAAATATATTTATTGATCTCATGTAAAATTATATACATAGTTACTGAAATAAAGAAAGTAGATAATATACTTTTCAAAGAACTATTTGTTAAAAAAAAATTATTTTGATCATAACTACAACTGGCAAAGAAAATCGATAACTCTATTTCTCAGCAACCACTTCAGAAATTAAAATGGATAAATTTTTAATTTAAGTAGACCAATTATACCAAATTGAACATAAAAATCATAGAACCAAAAATACTGCTTAAATGTGATAGTTAAATACTATACAAATATTGGATCGTACTCATGCTGTATAACATATATATGCATGATTCCATACACTCTTATTTCAAACGAATGTAGGCCATCATCCATCAGTCTTTTTACTCCTGATGCAATTTCTTCTTTTTCTTTAAGTGAATCCTTATATCTTTAAAATTCTCCCACCAACTCAATTTTGATATCATGAATGTCTGTTTTGTTTTTAAACTATAACTATTCTTTAATATCTTAAATCCCCAATCTGGCGCATCAAATTCGGATATAAGTAAACAACACACTTATAATGGACTAGAATATTGATTTCTTCGATGAAAGACTACATCATAAGAAAATAAGCCGGGGAATGAAAGATCATGTGGCAATAAAAACTCAGAAGTAAAAAAAAATAACGAATTCTATTCACATCCTATATTAATTACTAATATAAGGTGCTCGTAGATATAAATCAAATGCGTCCGTCTTCTAGATAATCGTATACGGAGATGTTCAACGTCGTCTCCCGTTGGCTACCTTCCTCCACGCCACCACTCGCGCTGTCCTGGTTTAGGGCGAATCCTGCGTCCACAGCCATGCCTGCGTCGGAGGCAGCTTTCTGTATGGACTTAGGAGATGTGTTGGAGGCCAGGGAAGGTTGTAGCAAGTGAGGGAAGTTAAAAGCTTCGTTGTCAAGGGAAGATGGTCGGTGCAAGCAGTAAAAAGCGACGTCGTGTGCTACGGCAGCTCCTTCTGCTGTGGAGAAAGATCCTAGCCAGAGTCGTTCACGAGTTCCCGGAACCCTAATCTCCGATACCCATTTCCCCCATTTCCGGCGACGTATGCCTTTGTACTTGGCCTGGTGGGTTTCTCCGGCGTCTCTTGAATCCATATTGAGGTGGTGATATTGAGAGGAAGTGTTGAATATAAATACTTTGGAGGAGAAGAAAGTCAAGTCCGATTTGTATGAATGTACAATATTTATATAATACTTTTAGGTTAGAGGGGAAAAATAATAATAGTCAAAGATATGACCAGGGGAATATGTGATATTGACATGCGGCTGACACATTTTGATGTTTTCTTTTTCTAGGATGATCTTATTTGCGTTTCAACGTGTTAACATTTACATCAGCTATAAACCCATTTGGATAAACAAATGAAATTTCAACATATGAAAAGAAAACAAGTGGTGGATACAGATGGATCACTCGATATGAGCGTGATTAATAGAATTGTGACAAGAAACTTATCGGTACGTAACAAATTACATGAGCCGAACAAGTTTGATTTATATAGGTTTTATTAGGAAAGAAGATTCGTTAATGTAGGGCATATAAAACAAATGTGATGTCGATATAATTAGTTATCAAACTAGCTCATTTTTTTTTTTGTTAATCGAGTATTCTAACCCACAAAAATGGTCTAGACTAATTATAACGGTCTTCGGTCTCATATACTAGAATCTTTATATAAATTCTGCAGTAGTCAAAACTCAAATCCAGAGGCGGACACTCTAGTTGGAGCTCTTTTACCACTAGACCAAAGCAATTTGGTTCAAACTAGCTCGTTATGATTTTCGGATAACCAAATCATTCATTTTTTTCGAGATACAAGATTTACCATACCTAAAGAAGCACCCCAATTACGTCTGATTCAGTTTCGCGTATATTTTCTTTTTGATAATTCAGAGGTTCCTCACTTGCGTGGATCATTCCTCTGGGCCCGGTCAGACAGCGGTCCACTTCAATCGGGAGAGTTTTATTTGGGCTAGGGACAAGGCCCAACACCCAGTATCGTATTTAGTGACAAGAATTAGCAGTTTCCCTGCCTGACACCGAACCCATGAATATGACAATTAGCTCACAAGATCTTTACCAAACTGCTACCTCATCCCGTCACGTATATTTATTTTATTAAAAACATAATTTGGCCCAAAATTTCATCATAAATTTATTTACAGCTTCGCTGTGAATAAACTATATATTTGCATGATAAAGGTTATACATTTTCTGCTAATTAAAAAAAAAAAGAATCATGGCTTTAAATGTAACATTTAACATGCATTCATATCAATAATACAAATAAATCCGGCGAAAATAAAAACTAGGTGTAACATGCACGTAATGAGAGAGATATTACGATTGATGATGTATATCGCGACATCACGTGGTGAACCACATGCAACTCGCCTCTCTTTCTCTCTTTTTTAGGGGATTTGTGTTAAAATTCATCACGGATGACGTCATGATATAGTCTTGTTGTCTGAGTTTGACTAAAAGACGGAAAGTTGTTTATTGTCTGTTTCGTTCTGCACACAGAAAGCGAACAAAAAAAAAAGATATGGCGTTTGTGGTCGAACATGTTTATTGGTACACAAATGTAACACGAACTGCAAAGATTCGTCTCACACGGAAGATGAACTTCTCTCACTTTGGAGCAACCCAATTTGAATGCAATCAACTCTCCTCATTACCTATCTACAAAGACCATGTCTTCTTGTGTATTCGACTTCGCGTCACGCCACATAGTTTGTCATAATTCACAAAAAATAGTATTCCTAATTATGGTTAACATGTCGATCATCATGAGATTAAAATAATTATTCTAGGCTTGCAAAAACGTCTATTAAAAAAGATATATATGGCCAACGTTTTCCCAACAAACAAAGAAGAAACTACCATAAAATTTTAAGAAACAAAAAATTGAAGAATGTTAATATATTTATTGATATAACACATAGAAGCTGAAATTTAAAAGATTAAACATTTTAGTGTAACTTTATTAATTTTATATAGTTTGGAGGCCATAAACTCTATGAATATTAACCTTTTAAAATTTAGGGATAATGTCATTGGTTCATCGGCTATGCCTAGGACTAAGGGTCTGACTGGTTGAAACGCGGCGGTTGCGATTGCGGTTGCGGGAGTTTGTGGATGTGGGTGGTTGCGGTTTCTAGCGTTATTAGGCGATTTGTAAGACTGGTACAGTGATTAAAAACTGGTGCGTTTGCGGGACATTTATGACTGGTTGATTATGAGATACTACAGCGGTTCAATAATAAATTTCCAATATTAACATATTATAACATTATAAAATAGCAAAACATACTGTTATGATAAAAATAATAACTATTAATATATTATAAGTAATAACAATATTATTTTTATTATTTTTATTTAGATAAAATATAATATTATAATATAATATAATATAATATAATTATATTTATATATGTATATTTATATATTTATATATTTATATATTTATATATTTATATATTTATATATTTATATATTTATATATTTATATATTTATATATTTATATATTTATATATTTATATATTTATATATTTATATATTTATATATTTATATATTTATATATTTATATATTTATATATTTATATATTTATATATTTATATATTTATATATTTATATATTTATATATTTATATATTTATATATTTATATATTTATATATTTATATATTTAATATTGAAAAATATAGTGAAAATTCTTGATTTAAAGTTTTTATAAATAGATTATGATATTTTTAGTTAATTTAAATTAAAAAATAAAAGGTAGATATAGTTTTAGTTATATTATTTTTATTCTTATTTTTCAATTTAAATTTTAAAATAATTTTTTACCCATCCGCAATCGCCCGCAAACGCAAACGCTAGCTGAAACCAGCTTTTGATTTTAAGAGGTTGGAAGCGGTTTGAAATGATTTGTAGCGGTTTTTGTGATTGTTGCAAAACGCTAGCAACCGCCATCAACCGCAAAAGCTGCGTTTGCGGGTGGTAGCGGGGAAACCAGTCGGACCCTAACACTCTCATATAATGGTATAAAAATTTATAAAGGGATGGAACAAAGAATATCTTATATTAAGAGGCAAACACGCAAACATAGCAAAAGCAAGACATCTCTATAAAATGTGATTGATTTACTAACACATAATGTGAGTTTTGTTACAAAAGTATGTTTTCGTTTCTCCATCTGTTGGGTAATGCTTCCACAAATTGCACAAGGAAGGGTAAAGCAAAACCAGACCAAAGAGATACATAAATCTCTACTTGAAAG